AGCCGTAGTTACACAAACGAGAACATGACACGGCTGTCGTGAAATTGCATTGGGATGTGACAGCACAACCAGAAACATAATGGGGAGAAAGGTGTTACAGTCGTACAAAAACGGAGATATTGCGGAATTCTTACACACAATAAACGAAGAACAGAAAGTATCTTGACAGAACTTACCGTAAACTGGATCAAAGATTTTCTCGATGATCAGTTGAAAGAACTCCTTGCTCAGACCACCTTCGTCAATACCTTGTTCATCTTCGAATTCAACTAACAACTGTTTCTTCAGATCACCCGGATTTTCCATACAAGCAATTTCAAGCTGAATGAAATAGACAAAGACGATAGTAATCAAGGTCGAGCATTATCAACAACCTATGGGGAAGATTAAATAAATCAAAGTGCGTGAAGTCGTTCAGCTATGTAAGAACCAAAATGTCTTCTCTAAAGAAATGCGCCACTAAGAGAAAGCTCTAAAGCGGAAGTGAAGTTGATTACGCAGCGGAAACAGTTATTCTGTATTTCAAATTACCTGCCCCATGTGTGCAAAATGAATACCACCTGGCAAGAAAAAATCATCGGATGACAAAACAAACTACAAAATATCATTCTCGGGTTGGGTTTTAGCACAGAAAGCAAATCATGAAGGAAATTAGCAGCATTTGGAAGAACACTTCCTAGCAGTATGCATGCCAATCAGCTTTCACTCATCACTCTTGATTTCGGCAAACGTGAAAACACCAGTTGCGGACGAACAAAACTGAGGCAAAAATAACCCAATTCCAAGTGGTAGACTTCTATCACGAAAGCGTAAACTGAAACGACACTAACGCTGAGGAGGTTTGCACTGCCTTATAGGTCATACCGGAATGCCAGTAACCAAAATCGGCGCATGGAAATGAATCGTTAATGGTTGTAAGAACCGTAAACGCGACTGATATCAGAGTGACTAACAAAAAAACTTGGAAAACCAGGGAGATGCTATGGACAAATCTTTTGTCGAGCTCCAACAAAACACCGTTGATATCTCCTCAGCCTCAGCATTGGCTTCGGTTGGTGCAGCTCGCCTTCCAGGCTGGGGTCCAAGGCATGAGAATTGCCGATGGTTAGAGACGCTGAGAGATATGGCTCAGAACAGATGTCAGAGGCGCGATTGCTGCGCGGTGTGTTTGGCGAAACCCTGCTCCCCATAACACAGAAAAATCTTCAAAAAAACGTACGGTGAAACTATCAAAAAATCACTCATTCATCCATTCATTTTTTCTCCGTTCTCCTTTTAACCCATTTTCATTTTCTTCCTGTACCCCTCCATAACTTTATTATCATTGTTTTGCTTTGGTACTATGCTTCTCAAGCCGGTGATATATATATATATATATATATATATATATATATATATAT